GATTCGTCATCATTATTATCATCATCACTGCTATCCGTTTGACTATCTCGGATATCCACAAACTCAGAATCACAAACTTTTGAAGTTGAAGGTTTGTCAGTGTCAATCTTAACTTCCAAATCCTTAAGTTTTTCTTTTCCTTTAGATTTTGATGCAACATTAATGACAGACAACTGAGAACAATCAACATCCTCAATATCACTAATTTCGCTAATATTGTCAGAGTTATCTTCAATATCGGCAAAATTAGATTGAGAATCAGATGTCGAATTCTCAGTCTTTTTCAAAATTTTGATTTGTTCTGATTTTGTCAAAGTATCATTCACAATGTTAACCAATTCATTTGTATCAAGACATTCATCAATTTTGACAATTCCATAAGCATATCTATCATCAGGAATTTTGTCAAACTCAGCAATGTTTTTCTCACAATCATACGAAATATTATCTACCTTCGCTCTTTCGTATGCTAGAAAAGGTAATAATTTCCTATGTTGTTCCTTGCTAATATCACACGAATGATGCAATGCAGTTAATTTCGCATATAGACGTTTAGCAGAATTGCAGTAGATATTTCGTTGAGCTAACAAAAGTTTTACATCACTAGATAACGAATCACGATCACACATTATGTTTGTTATTTGCAATTCTAAACATTCTATCTTGACCATTTTCAAATCTAACTTCTTCTGTGTCTCTAACAACTGATTGCTTAATTTCTTAGCTTCATTGCTAGCAGAAACAACCAAATTATCGAAATAAGCAACAGTATCATCAAAAGCAACAATTTCAGAATCATATGCACTTAACGGAATATTGAAAGATTGAAGAATGTTACGTACCTTTGTTGTCATTGGAGACTTATCAGCAGATTTTGACACAAAGCAACGGCCCTTGACCTCTTCGTCTGAATCTTCCTCCAGCTTCGCATACATTGCCCCATGCGTAGGATTACGCATTTCCTCATCATCGGAGCCCGAAGACCAGATTTGATATGTGCCATCATTCTCCTGTTCACCTTGAGCCACCAAAGACAGATTTTTCGCCTTCGTACGTACTTCTTCCAACCTCTCCACATAATATGCCTCATCCTTCACTCTATTCTTCTTCTCATCTTTCTTTCGAAGCATGCAATCATTTGCTTAATGATTGGCTTCATTGCAATAATGAAAATCCATACCGGAATCTCCTTTCAATTTTTTTTCTCTTTCTTTTCCTCAGCACCCTTCGCATCTTTTTTCTCATACTTCTTCTTCTCTTCTCCTGCAGCTTTGTTCACGGAACTTCCTTTTCCTTCACTTTGCTTCACCTTCGAATTAAACGGTTTCTTGAAAAACTTTTTGACTCAGTTGTTAGAGTAAAAAGCAATTGCCTCATCATCCGAATTCATTATAAACCCCTCTTCATCATCATAATCATCTTTTTCGATAGTTTCCTTTTCAGTCACTTTTGAGACAAGTGCTAATGGACCTCCCAGATTTAGCTTCGACTCTTCTGCCATTTCATTCACTTCGCTTTCGTGAGTTTTCAGTTGATTGTACAAATCATTCAAAGAAGATGTGTCGAAACTTTGTTGATTTTTCACCATCATGCTAACGCTTCTCCATTCTTTACGGAGTCCCATAACAAAGGTGAGATTGAATTCCATGGCAGACCTCGTGATTCCATAACGATTGCATTTGTATATCAGCTCATTTAGCCTATCATAGTAACTTTCAATCGTTTCACCATCTTTTTGCTTGAAATTCTTCAATTCAATCAAACATTGCTTAACTGAATTGATTTTCGTCTTCTCGCTGCCTTGAAACTTTTCTTTGAGATTATTCCAGATTTCCTTTGCAGTTGTACAACTTCTGACATAGTTATACACCACCGGAGGCAATGCACCACGCAACTCCCTTATGCATCGTTTTTCAAGTTTCTTCATACGATCATTTTGATTTTCCACACTCGTAGTACTGGATGAAGATCCAATTGGTTGAAGGTTCGTTGGAAGAGTAATATTCCCTGAGATGCAAGTCCAAACCCCTCTTCATCGATTCCATTCAAGTAATCCTGCATACGATCAGACCACTGATCATAGTATTCAGGAATGAGCATAGGAATCTTAGTTGAAGATCCTAGCAGATGAGAGTATGAAGTCATCGAGTTGAGATTGAAGTTCGCCATTGATGTACAGAAGAAAATTTTGAGAATTTATGAGAAATCAAATAGAATTTGAGAGCAAATTGCTGAATTGAACAGAAAAACAAAGTAGAATACTTGATTCAACAAATCTGTTGCAGAATCGAATCACAACTCAAGATCTAGAAACTTTTTCACGTCAAAAGATGCAGAACTTTTTGAACCAGAATTTTGATTCAAAAACCTTTTGAAACAGAATGAAAATTAGATCTCAGATCATGATTCCTGCTCTGATACCAATTGTTGAATCGAGGAATCAAGTATTAATCAATATCAGAGTTAAACGAATGCAGATTGAACAAACGATGTAAATAAGATCTGGTTTCTGCTCATTTATGCTTTCAACTTTTACAGAGAAAAATAGACAGGTTCTGTAAAGGACTCATATCTAATTCAAGTAAAGTTTTCATATTTATAGGAACAGTGAAAGCATACAAAAAATACTAAGGCATTGACAATTAAGCTTCGTACGAAATACACCTCAGTAAATAAACTTAACAAAACATACGAAGGGTAAAACAAACTTCGACATATTACAATATAATTCGACCCTAACAATTATTATTATTATTATTACTACGATGATGATTATTATTATTATTATTATTATTATTATTATTAGTATTATTATTATTACAATTATTATTATTATTATTATTATTATTATTGTTATTACTACTACGATTATTATTATTATTATTATTATTATTATTATTATTATTATTATTATTATTATTATTAAAAAATGTTATTTATAAAAATATATAAAAACCTTATCTGAGTATATATGCATACATTTAATTATGTTTTTATAGTTTAAATACGAAATAAATATGTTTTTGTGAATGTAGAATTAAATAAATATTTATATGGTATTTTCATAGTTGTATGTATAAAGAAAATACGTTTTTTTAAATCCATATACCAATAATAGTAATAATAATAATAATAATAATAATAATAATAATAATAGATAAAGATTTGGATTCGTTAAGAATACATTATATATAATAAATTGGAATGTAAAACATGTAATCTTGTGTAGCTTGGTTGGAAAGGCGCTGTGCTTTTACCCGGAAGATCCGAGCCTAAAATTCAACTTTGGGTAAAACCGACAATTTCTTGAAAATTTAAGGACTTTTGTGACATTAACCCAAAAAGAATCAAGTAATTCCGAATTCATATGAGTGAATTATACGCATTTTAAAAACGGGACAAATTCCATAAAAAAAAAACAAATGCTGAAAAGAAAATACTAAGCATTGATTTGCTGTCTTCCGAGGTATATAACTAATTCAATATCTAACCAAAATATGTATCTAAAATGAAGTACAAACACCAAATTACATGCTGGAAAAAAAATTAAGTAATTCCGACGTCATATGAATGAGTTATGCACATTTAAAAAAATGGGACAGATTCAAAAAAGCAAAAAAAAAATTGTTGAAATAGAGAAAACGCAGCATCGATATTCTTTCTTTCGGGGCATGTGTCTGATTCAATATCTAACAAAAACATATGTTTGTACAGTAAAAAATGAATTACAAACTCCAAATTATATGTTGGAAGAAAATAAAATACTTGACTTCATATGAATGAATTAAGCACATTTTAAAAAACGGGAAAATTGTCAAACCGGTTCCGGTTTTCATAAAAATGGAGAACCGGTAACCGGACATTGCCACTAATTCCGGTTCCGGTTCGGTTCTGACGGTCCTAATGCTCATCCCTAGTACAATATCTAGGGTTATTTATTTTGTTGGTCTTGACAACCACCGTGAGAATCCTATCTTTTAATAATCTCCACACAAAACCAATGATTTTAATAAGAATACACTTAACCCAATTGAAAGAGCAAAAAATGTTATTCCATCGGTATCCAACAACAATCTCACCTACTTGACAACAAAACCAACTCGGTTAGCTTCTCGACCCCTTCTAGGTTGCCTTGACCAAAACCAATTCCATTGAGCTTCTAAAGTGGGGCTGAAAATCATTATATCCATGATTAAGCAATCTTTATTAATTTCAATGACATATAGATTACGACATCTATCTCTCCAATGATGGTCCTCACACCAAACATCTTTCCAAAAAAATGTTTTGTCTCCCTTTCCCACTAGCCTTTTGAAAGGATTCACCCAATTAATTCCTCTATCTTCAAACTCCATCTCAATTTGAGAAATGTTGAACCAAACACCTTTTAAAGTTCTTTTAGCCAAGGGTTTCCCATCAATAAGCTTGAGATTATGAATGAATGTAACACAAGAGAAACAAAAGGAACCGTCTTCATTTATTAGTCTCTACCACCATTTGGAGAGAAGAATAAGGTTGGCTGCATCAAGGCTCCCAGCTCCAAAACCTCCCTTATCCACCGGTTTAATAATCACTTCCCAAACAACCCAATTAAATTTTCTTTTTTAATTATCACCTCCCGTAAAAACTTCTTTTTAAATTCTAATACTTTCAATCAAATTAATAACCTTTTTTTTAAATGGCATGCATGACAAATATTATATATTATACACAAGTTAAAGGGGTAAAACAGAAACTTAAAAAGGGCCTTAATGTAAATTCGTCTGATGATTATTGAATTGGTGGCCCATATCCCTATCTCTGCAACCTATTTTGGCAGAATGAATGGATAAGACTTAAGTGCTCTATTTTGGCAAAACCTTCCACAAAATTGTAATATTTTCGAAAAATGGCACTTCAGAAAAAGTAATGACTGATAATTTTTGTCAAGAAAAATTGTGTTTTGCTTCTTCCACGTGCCTATAAAAATAGAAAGATATTATGTATTAACTGCATACTGTCAACAGAATTTTTTTAAAAAAAATGGAGAAGGCTTCAATGGGTTCTTCACAAAAGAAACCACATGCCTTGTGCTTACCAGCCCCAACACAAGGCCATATTAACCCAATGCTAAAAGTTGCTAAAATCCTCCACTCCAAAGGGTTTCATATTACCTTCGTTAACACCGAGTTCAACCATCAACGGCTCCTCAAATCTCAGGGCTCCGACGCCCTACATGGCCTCCCTACCTTCTGTTTCGAGACCATTCTTGATGGCCTTCCTCCGCCACAGAACCCTGATGCGACGCAAGATGTTGAATCCTTATGCAAGTCCTTCGATAAAAATTTTATGGGTCCCTTTCAAAGTCTCCTTACCAAACTGAATGCCTCATCTTCTCCGGTGACTTGTATAGTGGCTGACGCTGTTATGGGCTTCACCCATGATGTGGCCAGCGAATTTGATATCCCGGAGATAGTTCTATGGACCAGCGGTGTTGGTTGTCTAATATGTATTCATGAGTATCCCAGTCTTTTAGAGAGAGGATTAATGCCACGTAAAGGTAATTATACACTAAATTTTCTTCGAACATCAGATATGTTGGGTTAATCGGTTATTTGAAAAGCAATAGGAAAGTTTTTTTTATTAGTTTTGTTTCCTAGTTTTAGAATAAGAGTCGAAGTCTTTTTTTATGGTTTTAGAGGTTCATAAGGTATCTAATTAATTAGTATAAAAGTAGGCGTCATTTGTTTTAATGCAAATTGTTTTAATGCAATTACTAGTTCTTTCTTTGTTTTAACTTTAAGAGCAAGTTTTCTTCCACTACATTCTTCTTCTGTTTCCGTGTTCCTTGCACCACAAAAGAAAACTAGTTTATTTTCTTACACTTGGTATCAGAGCGCAGTTTCGTTGAAGGGGGTGTGATTCGAGGTTGATTAGAAACAACCCCGATTTCTTTTAATCGGGCTTGTGAGAGACTAACCGGAGGCGCGGAGTAAACGAACGGGAAGACGTCAAAGCGGGTGGCTTTGATTCGGTTCGTTTTGCGGGTGACGGAAGACGATAAAGGTGGTCGTGACCTTGTCTTGTTGTCCGGTGGAAGAGTGCTCTCGGAACAAGCTTGATTAAAGAAGTCGGGGTTAAGGAGAAAAGGATGTCGTTGGTTAAAGAAGGAGGTTCATTGACATATCAAGTTCCGGTTTTGACTCCAACGAATTATCCGGTGTGGGCGGTTAAAGTCAAGTCGATTATGGATGCACATGGCATATGGGAGACGGTCGAACCAAAGACGTTAGATAAAGCACCAGATCAAAAGAAGTCAAAACAAGCTCTTGCTTTTTTGTTTCAAGCGATACCCGAAGACATGGTGTTGCAAATGGCGAGTTACACCGACCCAAAGCAAGTGTGGGATGGGCTAAAAACACGGTATTTGGGAGTGGATCGGGTGAGAACGGCTCGACTTGCAACCTTAAAAAGGGAGCTTGAAAGTTTACGCATGAAGGAGGATGAAACGGTTGATGATTTTGTGACGAAATTATCCGGTTTAGCGTTAAAAGCAAGGAGTCTTGGATATGAGCTTGAAGAAGGTGATTTGGTAAAAAGGTTACTAGATTCGATGCCTAAGTCGTTTCTTCAAATCGTGGCTTCAATAGAGCAATGTTTCGAGTTGGATTCAATGTTATTCGATGAAGCGGTTGGTAGATTGAAGGCATACGAGGAGCGTATAAGAGGAACCGAGAAAGTGGAGGACACTCAAGGTGGGTTGTTGTTGGCTAGTGAGGAAAAATCACATGTTTGTAAGCATTGTGGCAATGGACGTTCAAATCGGGATGACTTTGGACGTGGCCGGGGAAGAGGTCGGGGGTCCGGGAGAAGTCGAGATGGTAATGAACGTGTCCGGGATAAAAGTCACGTTAGATGTTACAAATGTGGTGAGCTTGGTCACTATAAAAACGAGTGTCCTAAATGGGAAAAGGAAGAAGCGGGTCTAATCGAAGAGGAACCGGCATTCTTTTGAACGAGTGGCTCGTATGACTAAACCGATTAAGGGGGTGATTGTTGGGTTAATCGGTTATTTGAAAAGCAATAGGAAAGTTTTTTTTATTAGTTTTGTTTCCTAGTTTTAGAATAAGAGTCGAAGTCTTTTTTTTATGGTTTTAGAGGTTCATAAGGTATCTAATTAATTAGTATAAAAGTAGGCGTCATTTGTTTTAATGCAATTACTAGTTCTTTCTTTGTTTTAACTTTAAGAGCAAGTTTTCTTCCACTACATTCTTCTTCTGTTTCCGTGTTCCTTGCACCACAAAAGAAAACTAGTTTATTTTCTTACAAGATATATGTATGGATGTATGCGTTTATACATATATACATTCATGTGCGTATGCACTTTAGTTTCTAATTTCATCAATTTTCTACAGATTCGAGTACTTTAGTAAATGGGTATTTAGATACCCTGATAGATTGTGCACCAACCATGTCTGGTTTACGACTAAAAGACATGCCTTCATATTTCAGAAACGCCAGCTCTTTTGACGACTACATGGGTGAGTTTTTGTGTTTACAAGTAGAGAGAGCAAAAAGAGCTTCTGCTATCATCATCAACACCTTTCATGAACTAGACCATGACCTTTTGGAAATGCTTTGTTCAACATTTCCTCCATGTTATGAAATTGGTCCTTTGAATTTACTAGAGAAGACAATTGTTGATGACTCTGTAGCATCACTCAGTTCAAGTCTATGGAAAGAAGAAGACAAATGTTTGGAATGGCTAGAATCTAAACCACTATCTTCAGTTATTTATGTGAATTTCGGTAGCCTCACAGTGATGACACATGAACACCTAGTCGAGTTTTGTTGGGGACTTGCTAAAAGCAATTGTTCGTTCTTATGGATAATACGCCCAGACCTCGTCAAGGGCAACTCTTCCGTTCTTCCAGCAGAGTTTTTGGAACAGACAAACAGTAGAGGGATGTTGGCTAGTTGGTGCCAACAAGAACAAGTTCTAAATCACCCAGCAATTGGAGGGTTTTTAACACATAGTGGATGGAATTCGACAATTGAAAGTATATCCGGTGGAGTCCCAATGATTTGTTGGCCATATCTTGGTGATCAACAAACAAATTGCTGGTCGTGTTACAACAAGTGGGAGGTTGCCATGGAGATTGATAGTGATGTAAAGAGAGAGGAAGTTGCGAAGCTTGTCATTGAGTTGATGAATGAAGAAAGAGGTAACGAGTTGAGAAAGAATGCAATCGACTTGAAGAACAAGGCCCAAAAAGCATGCGCCTACAAAATAATTTGGATAAAGTGATTCATCTGCTACAAGCATCTACAAAATAATTCATTGTCTATGATGCATGTGTGTTTATCATATTCTAGACCATTTGATTGCTCAAAATGATCGATGTTGTTTTGTAAATGTAATTTCATTATTTTGCCTTAATTTGGATAACAAAATCGTTCATGTTCTTAGTGTTGATGTGATATTTTTTTGTAGACAAATTAAGAAAAGGGATAGGAACATGTGGTAGCAAATACACCGTAGAACACCTTGAACCAGAAAGTTGTCTTCTCTTACACTTTATTAACTCAAGATGTTTGTCCTCATCCTCGTAGACAAGAGTGAAATCCACAATCTCATTATTTTCATCTATGTGAGGAATCATAAATGGATCACAATCATAAGCACGATAAAATATAATTATATAAGAAAGAACAATGTCCTTAATTTCATGAATTAAAATAAAAATTTGAGGAAAAAAAGTAGAACACACCCCTCCCAAACAAAGTCCAATAGAAAGAACAATGCCCTTTCATAGCCGTTAAATATAACTTTCAAGTATAGGTTTTACAGCCTCGATGTAATCAACCTACTAAACATTTATTTAATAAAGAACTTAGAAGAATACGTTAAAATAAATGTTGTCATGTCGTCACAAAATGTTGAAATATATGCATGTATCAAACTTATCATTGTAGTATCCTTTGTTTGGTTCTTGTAATGAATTTTCAGTTTTATATTATATAAGATTTGTTTTGTTATTTTTGGATTCTTAAGATGTAAGTTGTCTAAAGGTGGATTGCGGCTCACATTGAAAGTATGGATGAAGTAGAAAACACGAGGAGTCTATTTGTGGGTGGATTATATCCGTGATTTGCTCCAAGATTGACCTGGTTGTGATCCGAAGAATATATTCATTTTTTGTAGGTGATTTTAGTCTATCTCAGTCATTTGTATCAATTACATCTTGTATAGCTCTCGTTTTCTCTCTGCATTGATTAGGGTTTCTTCACTTTGATCTTCTGTACATTCGTCGTTCTTCATTGTTATTGTTATAGACTAGTGTGAGTAGTTTAGATAGAATATCTGTGTGAATCATTGTATTGACTGTATCAGTGATTTGTAGAGAGGTTTTTTCATTTACGAAATTGAAAACCAACTAGTTCTTTGTGTATAAAAGTTGACGATGTTGTGGTAGTTGTGTATATGTTTAGATTGAGTTTTCTTAGATTGTATCATAGCCTTGTTTGGATATTTTTTTTTATCTCAGTTGTTCTCGATAAATTTAGGGTTTCAGGTCTAGGGTTAGGGTTTCTTGCCTTCATCTAGATCTTGTTCGTTCTTTCTTTTTCGGTCATGAACTGTTTATCAGATCTAGTGTTTTCTTCTTCTCGAATCTGCTATTAGATCTTGGTTCTATGGGTTCCATCAACTCTAGTGGTGTCCTTGTCATGTCTTTTGGGAGTAAACGTGTTTGATAATAGTAAACTCTTAGGGTTAACTTGTTAAACCTAACAGTCAACATCAAAATTCGTTCAAACAAGGTTCCATTAACAGAGTTTGTGCCTGAAAGTTGAATGCATGTTTCCTTCAGTGGTAGATTTGTTTAAGGACAAATCTATTGAATCTAATGAGCTGCTATCGTGTGTTATAGTGGATCTCTGTAAGTTTTTGCACGCCTTACTCTTATTGTCTCTTTCTCTCTATTGTTTGATGTGCGTTATTATGGATGTTTGTAAGTTTTTCGCACGCCTTTCTCTTTTTGTCTCTTTCTCTCTGGGTTTTTTTATCTATCCGCTATCTGTTGATCTTGGTTGTTTTACGTCTATATTTCATCCTACACTAACCTTACATGGTTGTGAATTTGGTGTGAAATATAGAAACTGCGTGTAAACCTATGAGATTAGGTATAATATTCCTGATTTTTCTTCTTGTATGATTTCTATTAATCATGGCTAAGAATGATGTTGTTGATTTTAATGATCCTCTGTATTTGCATCCATCTAATAATTTTATTACAACCATTATTAATTTCAAACTGCTTGTAAATGATAAGTTTAGAGTTTGGAAAAGTTCTATGAAAAGAACCTTAAAGGCAAGAAATAAAATTTGTTTCATTAAAGGAACTGAAATTAAAGATTAAAATGATACATTTAGGTCTCTTAAGTGGGATAGGGTAAATGTTATTGTGTCTTCTTGTCTTCTTAATCACTTATCTGAATCAATTTATATTGGTTATGCCTATTCTAAATTTTCTCATGATATATGGACTGATTTGTGTGAAACTTATTATAAGGCTGATGGTTTTGTAGTCTTTAATGAGCATGAATGTATAAATTCTCTATTTTGAGTGGTTTATATGTGCCTGATTACTTTAATAAATTGGATGGTCTTTGGCATGAATTTGAAGGATTAACTAAATGCACTGAGTGTCACTGTGAAGCTGCAAATCAGTTAAACAATCATTCTAAATTGATGAAACTTATGCACTTCGAAAGTGGCTTAAATTATTCCTTTAATCAAGTGAAAAGGAATATGTTAATCATGGAACCTTTTCCTGATGTTAAAACTACTTTCTCAATTGTTTCTATGGAAGAGTCTAATAAAAAAACGTGGTTTTCTTTTTTACTTTGACTAATAAAGGTCAGTCTTCTACTCTTTCTGGTAACCTAAATGATACCACGAAGTTGTAAAATAAGAATTAAACTCCTTAATTTTTGTAAAAATTGTGGTCTTAAAGGACATTCTATAGAGAAATGTTACAAGCTTATTGGTAATCCTAAGGGTTATAAACCAAGAGCTGAATTTAATAAAACCTCTTATGTCTCTGGAACTGTTTCTCTTGCTTGTGAATCTTCTAATATGTCTGATGTCTTTTCTTGTAACTCATAAAACATTTTTTAACTAATGTTCAATACTCCAAGCTTATGTCTCTTCTTAATGATAAAAGATTTTTGGAAGTTGTTTTTGTCAATGCAAACATGGCAAGTATTGTTTGTAATAATGTTTTCATTAAAAATAAAAGTTAGGTTGTTGATTTAGGTGCTAGTCGACACATGATTGCAATTGAATCTCAACGTTTTGATGTTTTTGATGTCTCAACGTTAAATCTTAGAGTTGACCATCCACATGGATCAACTACTAAGATTAATAAAATTAGGAACATGAACTTGTGTAATTCAATGACTTTAATTGATGTTTTTTCAATACCTAATTTTCATGTTAATTTGATTTCTGCTCATAAGCTTTGTAAGGAAAACAAATATAAAGTAATTTTTGAAGAAAATAAATATGTTGTTTAGGATTCACTATCCATGGAGGTTGTGGAGACTGGTAGAGAATCAGGAGGTCTGTATTATCTTAAAAGTCAATCTTTAGGTAGGTCTAATTTTGTGAGAAAAATTTCTAGATGTTTTTTTTTCTAAAATCACATGGCATAATAGATTCGGACATCCTGTTGATTAGGCTTTGAATGTTTTAAAATCGGTTCTTAATTTTGATAATGATTTTGTTATGCCTTGTGAAGTTTTTCATATAGCTAAACAAACTAGAGAACCATTTCCTTTAAGTGAATATATGTCCAATATTCTTAGTGATTTAATACATTTAGATTTAATTCATTTACATGTATGGGGTCCCTATAAAGTTGTTGCTTTAGGTGGCTTTAGATTTTTTTTTACTATTGTTGATGATTATAGTAGGGCTACTTGGGTTTATTTGATGAAATCTAAAGATGAAGTCTTTTCCTGTTTTCATGTTTTTGTATGCTTCTTACAAAATTAGTTTAGTGTTAACATTAAGATTGTTAGGTCTAACAATGGTATTGAATTTGTAAATGTTATAATGATTTTTTTTATAAATAAGGGAATTATTCATTAGAAATCTTGTGTAGATACTCCACAACGGAATGGTATTGTGGAAAGAAAACACAGACATCTTCTGAATGTTTCTAGATCTTTGTTATTTCAATCTAGTCTACCTAAAAGATTTTGGGGATAGGTTGTTTTGACTTCAGTTTTTTTAATTAATAGAACACTCAATTCTGTTTTAAATTGAATAAAGTCCTTATGAAATGACTTATAAATGTTCTCCTGTTTATGATAAGATTAGAGTCTTTGGTTGTTAGTGTTCTGCAAAAAAACTGAATAATCATGATAAATTTTTTGAAATATCTGAAAAGTGTATTTTAGTTGCTTATCTGATGTCAAGAAAAGTTATAAGTTGTTCAGTTTTCACAATGGTGTTTTTTTTCAGGGATATGAAGTTATATGAATCAATGTTTCTTTTTAGAATGTCTCTTAATTCTAATGAATCTTCTAAGTTTCTTAAATTTTGCTCTTCTATTACTAATAATTCCTAGGATCCATTTCCCAATGATGAAATTCTTCATTCTGATGGTCTTATTGATGATCAATCTAGTAGAGTTTTTAGAAGCAACAATCAGGACGAGGAATCTAGTTTTGATCAGTCTCTTAGTGCAACTGGAACTGATCAGGATTGTACCCCTAGTCTACATGCAACAGATCCAGTATAGGATGGTACTCAGAGCAGTGATATTCTAAGTTTGTAACCTGAGTTGGTTGTTTCTTAAACACTTAGAAGCTCTGAGGAAAATAATATTCATTCAATATATGTTAAAAGATCTAATCGTGAATCTAGTGTTCCTCGGAAATTTAGTGATTACATAATAGAGGGTAAGTATAAAAATGGAGCTGAAAAATCTATAAAATACTCTTTTCTTAGTGTTGAAAATAATTGTTTTATTTCTAATATAAATAAAACTGTTGAACCACAATCATTTTTATGAGGCCTCCTTGGATCCTAATTAGGCCCAAGCCATGAATGACGAGATGGAATCATTGTATAGAAGTCAAACCTGGGTTATTTGTGATTTACCTTCTGATAGAAAACTAATTTGTTGTAAATGGGTATTTAAAATTAAATATAAGTCAAATGGTGAGGTTGAAAGATTTAAAGTTAGATTTGTAGCTAAAGGGTATAATACGAGAGAGGGAATTGACTTTGAGGAGACTTTTTTTTCTAGTTTCCAAAATGGTGACTACTAGGATTGTTACTACTCTTGTTGTTAATTCTTATTGGGATTTATTTCAACTTGATATTAATAATGCTTTTTTA